ACCTTGCTGGCGGCTCTCCCCTTAATCATATCTTCAACAGACTTGGCAGCCGATAGCTGCTCCAAAGTAAGTGCCTGACGCACTGGCACTGCATACTCCCATGGAAGTCCCTTTGCGTACCTGTCAATTTTTGTCAGCTCATCTGGGACAATACGTAAAGCAAACTCCATTTTGTCTGTGAAGTTATTGGTGTATTCGTCGATGGACATACTTCCCTTCTTCGATGTCAGAAATTGGTTTTCTATCTCAAGCACATTTTGGGCCGAGCAGTACTTGCGCTTGAATTGCACCAAGAACTCTGCCCAAGTCAGTTGCAGTGGCTCATTAGGGCTTAGGGTCTTCCCCAGAGTGTTCCACCAGCGAACAACGGCCACCGTTGAACTGACGCACTCAATATGGTTTGTAACTTGCCTTGACAACCACATGTCTGAAGGCCATTCCATTTCTGAGATCCAATCCATTACTCCGACGGGATCTTCTTTCCAGTGAAAGTTGATGGCTTGCAAGTCATAAAGTCTTTGTACTTGCATCCATTTCTCTCCACTCTGTCCTCGTGGTTATTCCTCCTAACCACAAGCGGTTCAGTCCTCGTGGTGCAGCTTCTACTATTGGCACCTGTTCCATCACTTGGGGTTGAGGTTGCTAATTTCTATTTGCATTTCCAGCTCCACTTCGAGTACTGCCATTTTGATCTATACACCAAATTAGGCGAATTTAGATCTTTATTCACGATAGACGTTTAAATCTCATTCACTCTGAAATGTTACATGCTAGTTCTAATATCGTAGTCGTACGCTTAGAATCCTAAACACATAAGGTTTCTAGATCCGGTCGGCAAAAGACCATAGATCCGAACAAATAATGACATATATGGCAAACGTATAGCATTTAGCACATAAAAGTATTTTAGACACTTTCTAAAATATACTAGTGCTTGTGTTTAAATAGGGTAGACCTCACTCACGTCATCACTTAGCATTCTAAGTTTAATCTAAAATCCTACAAATCCTAGTTCGCTTAAACTAATGCGCTGATACCAAATGGTGACATCCCTAAATTCTCGGTCAGAAAAGACCGATTTAGTTTATGCTTTTAAAATAAAATCAAAGTAATATTTTTAAAAGAAGTGGCGGAATTTGTCCCCAAAACAAAACATGATAAAAATTTTTTTATCAAAATATTTCTTAAAAAAAAATGAGTAAATTACACGAATGGTCCCTATGGTTTGGGGTAATTCTCACGTTTGGTCCCTAACTTATTTTTTTAGCTCGGAAGATCCCTACAGTTTATTTTTGTTGCGTGTTTGGTCCCTGTCTTACCTAAAAAGATTATTTTGCCCTTGATTTTTTTAATTTATTTATATAAACACACCCAACCCCACTTCTACCTCACATTACCTTAGTTTACCTACCCACCTTATTTAAACAAATTAAAAAATCAATGACAAAATAGTCTTTTTAGGTAAAACAGGGACCACGTGCACAATAAAAACAAACTGTAAGGACCGTCCGAGTTAAAAAAATAAGTTAGGGACCAAACGTGCAAATTACCCCAAACCATAGGGACCATTGTGTAATTTACTAAAAAAATATATATTTTCATTATATATCAAATCCTCGGGATGTCATGTTCTGATACAGACCAAAAGCATAAACAATACATTATAAGCCTTACAACAAATATTTACATCTACTGGCCTATAATCCAAAAATCCCTCATCATCATCCAACTATGCTCAGGGTCCACTACCTGTAATATAAAAAGCCGAGTGAGTCAGGCTTGCGAGCCTGATGAGCATATAGGGTTTTCAACCCACAAATAATAATAAATTTATTAAATTCATCAACCAAAAATAAATTTATTAATTTCATCAACCAACAATAACCCTGATTACCCATTCCCGTTATCCTCACTTTACGTCCCTAAACACCTATCATAAGGGACCTAGTCTAAGGATTTTCATCGGGGTGACAACACCGCTTTAGGGATTCCTCAGCAATTTATGTCAAATAAGGCAACCATGAGGGGGATGGAGTACACCAGCGAGCATATAGTTCACCAACACCTACAGGTTGCGAACCTGCTAGCGTTCCACTGGACTGTCTAGAAAGGTCTGTGGTCGTCATCTATACTCCGCTAGATGACTACAACAACAACAACAACAACATCGAGGCCTCTCATCATTTTAACACACATCAACTATTTCATCTACCCATGTTTTACCCAATATATTTGTAGATAAAAATACATATACAGTTTAAAACTTGTATAAAACATCTATTCAACACCCATCTCAAATAAACAAACAATATAATTACACATAGCACGTATTTTATAGAAAATACTTCATATCTATGTGTAAGATGAAAATGACTACACACTCACTTGATATAATGATAATCGGGCAACACTTTGTTTCTTAAAACGATCGTTTCCGATAAAACCGGGATGTTTTCCCAAAAACCGGGCTTCACGCGGGCAGAGTTTCGTCTCGAAAACTCTTTTTCTCGGGATCTTCGGGCTCTCCGGGGCTTGCTTATGATGCTAGGATGATATAATAGGCTTGGGGGTATTTAGTGTAGGTAAAAAGAAGATAGGAGGTGAAAAAGAGTAAATTTTGTAACCATTTTCGGGGCAGCCTCGCACCCTATTTATAGTGTCTGAAGCACCTGATTACGCTGGGTGTAATTATAGAGTACGCAGGGCGTACTGCCTCGGAAGGCCCTTCGTTGGGCGTACACCTTCGTACGCTGGGCGTAGGAGTGGATTAGCTCGGACACGTCAAGGCTACGACACGTGTCTCTCATGCGAAGGAGTAGGGAGGGTGACTGACTCCGGAACACTTACATGAGTACGCTGGGCGTACTCCGAATTTTCAAACTTCAAAATTTTGTAACTTTCGCATACGAGTTCCGTTTTTGACGTTCTTTATATCCACGCGTAGGTAAGACCGTGCTCTACAACTTTCGTTTAGACTCCGTCGGCAAATTTTGACTTTATTTTTAAAGTTATATTTTTAACAGGCCGGGACAGGAAAAATCCGTTAAAAATTCATAACTTCTTCATCCGCCGTTCGTTTTCGTTTGTCTTTTTATCGTTGAACTAATATCAACAAGATATTCGATTCTCGTTTAGGTTGTTTTGGCTAAAAATCACTCGATCTAAAATTCGAGTTTCGGGCTGCATACTGCTATGCCAAATCTTAGAAAATTCATAACTTCCTCATACGAAGTCAGATTTGGACATTCTTTTTATGCACGCTCTTGGTTTAACGTATACTACGACTTTCATTTAGATCGCTAATGCTAAAAAGTACTTTATCGTAAATTCACTTTTTACGTCACACAACGTCGTGCCGGTTCTGTCGCGAAACTTCGACATGTCATAACTTCTTCGTTATAACTCGGATTTCGATATTCTTTATATTTCCGGAATCCTTGTTTCAACCACTACAACTTTCTTCATAGATATCGGGTTCATCTAATATTTATTTTCGATGCTTATTTTTATCATTAATTTATTAAATCATAATAATTAAGCAATAAACACATAATACTCAAATAATACATCTTATTATTTCAAAACAAATTACAAAAGTTGGACTAGACTATTACATCATCATTAATGCGTAGCCTGAAAACACGGACGTTACAGCATATTTCCTCTTGCCGACTTCAAATATCTTTAGAGTAGCTGGTGGTGAGACAAATAATAAAAATACAAAAAATGAAAAACACAAAAGGATAAAATATGATTAAGTTAAAATAATGTTAAAATGGTTATTTTATTAATTACTTAACATTGATCTTCTAACGTGTTAGAGAAATAATCCAGCATACTAAATTTTGAAACCATTCCAAGACTTGAATTAGATCTAATCGAATACAGGATCAAAATTGTAATTTATACTATATAAAATTATTAGATATTATATAAAATAATTATAAGGTCTATATATTCTATCTATCATTGAAATAATGATTGTGAATGTCAATTATATATTCTTATCAATGATTTTTGTGAACAAAAAACAAATAAGTTCTCTATTCTATTACAACCATAATGATTTTATCCTTGTTAATTGTTTGAAATTTATAATAAGACAATTATCTTTTCTACTTTTGTAGTAGCAATAACATTTATTCATAGTTATCATCATCAAAAAAGAATCCAAAAGTCTTGTGTATAATAATACAAAGTAAAACTTTTCTACTTTTGTAGTAGTAATAACATTTATACAAGATAGTTATCATAATTAGAAAAGAATCCAAAAGTATTGTTTATAATAATACAAATTTCAATATCTCCATTTTACAAATTGTAATCATAACAAAATTTAAATTATATACGCATTTATGTATGTTTATGATAGTGTCATCTTTCTAATAATCTCACAAGGCACATCTCACTAAAAAGATATCTCTCCTGAAAATAAAACTTGTTGCTAATAAGACACCTCTTAGACACCCTCTCATCATTTTTATAAAAGGTCAACCTATAATAAACTACTTGTAATCAGTTTTTTCGGAAAACAATGCAATTCCAACCAATAAAAATACTTCAAAATTAATTAAGGTTAGACTAAACGATAAAAATGAATGTCTTTTTAGCCGCTAAAAGTTTGATGTAAACATTTAACAACCCAAAAAAGATAGAATTTCTTAAATCTTAAATATTTAATAATACAATAAGAAAAACTCTGTGTTAAACAGCTACTCCATTGCTGGCTCTTCGTCCCCATAGACCCTACAACTCGGACTCACCACCATACCCGGTGACACCCACTTCCCACTTTCATCTAAATCGTGTCATCCACGCGCCACTTTTGCGACTGTTACAAAACCCAAGACAACCCCAAAACCCTGATTTCTTTGCTTACTCGATTTCCATTTTTTTAATGCTTTTGTTGTTTTATATATAAATTGTTAAATAAAATATTCGATGCGAGGACAAAAAGTGAAAAATGGAAACGAATAATGTAAATTTATGGTGATTTGAGACTCGAGTGATGAGTGATATCCTTTCCTTGTTCTTATTAAAGTACCCATCTTTAATGGCGAGAGGATTTAGTAAAGAAATCTTGTATTAACGTGCGCAGATCCGTCTAGTGCGCATTGTAGCTTAATCCATATTCTTGCAAAAAGGGTTTGCTGTTGGTGGTCCATTTTGTTTGTTTGTCCTCTTCAACAGTACCTAATTCTTTTCCTCTTATCCTACTCGGTTTTTATAGTAGGTTTATAAACAGATCCATTTTGGGATTTTCTTGGGTTTTCCATTTACAAATTCAAGATTTGAAGCAAAAGCAAGAAACGAGAAGGAAGATAGTGGGGTTTGTTGCAGGAAGCTTCAGATCTTGTTGTTGTTGTAGTTGTTGTTGGTGAATTTGAAGTTGAATTTTAAAAGGGTTTTTTTTTCTGGTTTGTTTGTTGGTGTAGAGAAACAAACAAGAAAAATGGAAAGAGACCCACAAAATTTCTTTATGATATTCGTAATGGGTTCTCTTTTTCTGACTTGATAAACACTAAAAGAACTCATCTTCTTCTCGTTCTTTCTTTTTCTTCTGTGTTCGAACTTCGAAAGGTGTTTTCTTCTTCTGTTTCTGGTTCTTCTTTTGAGGGTAAAAAGGGGATTAAAGCAAAATGTTGGCAGTGAGTCCTTCTAGTGTTCGTACAGCCACTACTTGCAATACTTTACTTCGGGAACTTCAGGTAATATATCTTTCGATTAATCATTCAAACTTTGATTTTAAACCCCATTAATTTCTCAATTTGAAACAAAGAAATTAGTTGCGAATTTTGTTCTTTTGTTTGAATACTCGATAATGACTTCTAAATTTCCAAAATCGATGATGTTTTCATGTCTAAAAGTAGAAATCCTGTAATGGGTATTCTTTATTTTTCACAAATTCAATGAAACACTAGTAATTTGATTGTCGGTTCTATGAAAACTATTGGAAATTTGGAATGTTATTCATGAAATTTTTAGGCGTATTTTCGGTTCCCTAAAATTAAGGCAACTAGTCTTGGCTTTTGAAATTAAAGTCACAAAATTGTTATTTTAACCTTTTCATCTTGAATTTATATGTATTATTCTGTTGTCCATTCTTTTCACATGTTTTCCTACTCTTCTTATGCAATTAGAATCAAGAATTCAATTGCTATAAACCCCATAATTTCTTCTTTCCCCTTTCCCCTAAAAACTTTCAAGATAGCGACATAGAATTACATATAATTTCATACAATTTACTATATCGTAATGGGCTTTTTGGGGATTTTACATCTTCGGTATATTTATGAAAAAAAAGTTGTTTAATTTCATTAAATTGTATCATGTTTACAGCAAATATGGATGGACATAGGCGAGAATGAAACCGAAAAAGACAGAATGTTAATGGAATTGGAAAGAGAATGTTTAGAAGTTTATAAAAGAAAAGTCGATGAAGCTGCAAATGCAAAAGCCCGCCTTCATCAGTCGGTGGCAGCCAAAGAAGCGGAACTCGCCACCCTAATCGCCGCCCTGGGTGACCTCAACACTTATTTTCCGGTAAACAAATGGTCTTAATTCAATAACCCATCATTGTCAACTTTATTATTGCTTTTACCTAATCTTTAATCATTATTGTGGTTACCCTTTTAAATAGTCTTTCAAATAGTCTTTCAACCAACTACTCCTTTTTAACTTTTATTATTCTCTCTCTTTCTAAAAATGAAACATAATTTGACTATAAAAATCAAATCGATTGAAACTTTAGGGTTCAAATCTTTGATGATTCATGATATGTAACTTTTAGAGAAACATCAAACGTGTAAGCTTATTTACTTTATTGCAAGAAACATGATCAATAGATTTTATGGGATCTTTTTAAGAACAATGGTTACATAAGTAATTCATTCAAGTTGTATATCTTTTTGGAAGTGAGAAAGTAGCTTTTTGCTTCAATAATTTATAAAGGGGTAGTGACTTATTTATGCAACAATATTACTACATGTTTGTCGACAATCTTTTACCACTTTATGCAATAAAGTTGCTCTCTTATTGGTAAATATTGGGTAACAAAATTGAAACATGTTTCATATATTGATTAGAAATCCAATTCGTTGCAAAATTTGGAAAAAGTTAGTGACTTTTTTATTGCCAAAATTAGTCATTAACCATAATTTAACATGTCTATGGGATTTGTCTACTTTCTTTTAACATCTTATGCCTTTGTTTGAAGAATCTTTATCGTATGCAAATTCATTGTACTCTTTTTGTCCCATAGTTTGACTATTATGAGTCAAAAATTGTTTTTTAAAAATTTATAACTCTGCTTAATGTGTTTTCTTTTCTTGAATTAAACAGCTAAACATGGAAAACAAATCATCATCATTGAAAGCTCAACTTGCAATGGTGACACCATTGGTAGAGGATTTAAAACTCAAAAAAGAAGAAAGAATCAAACAATTTGCAGAAATAAAAGGTCAAATTGAAAAAATCAACAGTGAAATTTCGGGATATACACAATTTACAGACGCAATTAACTCACTAACTCTCGAAGAACAAGACTTATCTCTTAGAAAATTTGGTGAATACCAATCTCATCTTCGTACTCTACAAAAGGAAAAGGTACAACAATTTATCAAAAACAAATTTATTAAAAGATACAAATTACAATCATATATTCATCAAAATCAAATTCAATTGCAGTCAGAACGACTCCATAAAGTTTTGGCCCATGTAAACGAAGTCCATTCCACGTGTCGTGTTCTTGGATTGGATTTCGGGAAAACCATTAGCGATGTTCATCCAAGCTTACATGGAACAAGTCCAGAACAAGCAACAAACATAAGCGATACCACATTAGAAGGTCTTGAAAACGCGATTCTTAAATTGAAAACAGAGAAAAAAGTCCGATTTCAGAAGGTATAATAAACATAATCTCCAAAAGCGTACAATCTTTTTCTCTCTGTAGTCATTAAAGATCGTTTCCTTTTTAATGCAATACAGCTTAAAGATATCGCTGGATTGTTATTCGAACTATGGCATATAATGGATTCAACGAGGGAAGAAAAAAGTTACTTTTTGAGAATTACATCGGTGATTAGATTACCAGAAGCAGAAATCATCGAACCAAATGCTCTTTCATTGGATGTTATTCAACAGGTTCTTCATTTAAACCCTTTTTTACCCGACTTTTTTCTTTCTTTTTGCTATTAAATAACAATACTCTTCTTCACAGGCTTCACAAGAAGTTGAGAGGTTAAGTAAACTGAAAGCAAGTCGAATGAAAGAATTGGTCATGAAAAGAAGATCTGAATTAGAAGATATATGTTTCAAGACTCATATCGAACCTGATCCAAGTACAGCTATTGATAAATCTAATGCAATGATTGATTCTGGTAAGTGATATATAATTTAGTTCAAAATTGTAATTAGTTTTTTCCTTTTTGCCATTTTGGGTTTTGAATAATTTGTTATTTTTTAAAAGGTTTGGTGGACCCCAGTGAACTTTTGGCAAACATTGAAGCACAAATTGGTAAAGTAAAGGCTGAAGCTTTGAGTCGAAAGGAAATCATGGATAGAATAGAAAGGTGGCTTTCTGCTTGTGAAGAGGAAAATTGGCTTGAAGATTATAATCTAGTAATCTTCTTTTCCTTTTTCTAGTGTTATCATCATTGTTTTAATTATGAAAATTCGAGAAAAAAGCAACTAGATACGAATTTTTATACTTTTTAGATTGATTAAAACAAAACCCTTTTAGATTTTGACTTTTGTTATGTTTTTTTGTTGTTTTTTAGGATCAAAATCGGTATAGTGCAGGAAGAGGAGTTCATCTAAGTTTAAAACGTGCAGAAAGGGCTCGAATTACTGTTAACAAGATTCCAGGTACAAAAAGGGTATTTTAGTCTTTTTGCACAAATATTCCATGTCCCACATTTTTGGATATAGGACAAAAAGTTACTTTTTTGTCATGCAATCTTTGGATTAACAAATTACTAATTGCAGCCATGGTTGATAATCTAATATGCAAAACGGTTACATGGGAAGATGAGAAAAAGAAGTTGTTTCTTTATGATGGGGTGAGTTATTTTGTAAAGTGTTTAAGAAAAAAAAAATCTTGTTGCTTTGCATTATTAATTTATTATTTTATTACCTTCTGTTATGAAACGTTTTGCGTAGGCGCGTTTGGTGACAATCTTGGAGGAATATAAACTATCAAGACTACAAAAAGAAGAGGAAAAGAAGCGATCAAGGGTAATTTGTTCATTCAATACTTTCGTGATTCCATTCCTTCTTCCTATAATCACTCATTCCATTCCTTTGCAACAACAGAATGGAATGACTCATTCCATTCGGGGTATTAACTATTAACGTCCATTCACTTGTTTACAGGACCAAAAGCGCCTCCAAGACTTGCTACTAACGGAAAGAGAATCCATATACGGGTCGAAACCTAGTCCAAGAAGAGCAAGTAGTTTTCGCATGTCCGGAAACGGATACCGGAATGGAAACGGATCAATGACTCCAACTCCAAGAAGAAGCTCCGTGGGAAGTCCAACAATGGAACCCATGACTCCGAGGTCTTATTCCAGTCGCCAAAACGGGTATTCAAAAGAAATGAGAAGGCTAACAACTACACCACTTAACTTTGTTGCCATTCCTAAAGAAGATACAATATCGTTTTCTTCTGTATATGGATCCGAACCCGGGTCCCCACTTCAGAGCTAAATCTTGAAATCATTTTAATCGGTAATTACTAAAATACTAAATCTAAATCTTTCTTTTTTTAATCAATAAAAGGAATTTGAAAATTTATAAGTTTTTTTGAAATTATGTTACAGGAGGGTTTAATGTGTTGATGTGAAGTAGAGCAGGCAGGAGAAGGCTTGTGAATATTTGACAGTTTTAGGAGAGTGTTGTGGAAAGTGTGGATAGAAATGGTGAAACTTTTTTTTTTTTTTTTTGGTATTGTTGTTTTTTGTTTTATTACTTGTAATGTGTATACCTTTTGGTTTGGTGTTTGATGGAGTTAGGATGCAGCCTTAATAATATCGTAATAAACAGAAAGAGACATGATGGATTGATTATAAGGTTGACATGGACATAAAAGAGGTTGAATTTTAGCATTGTGGTGATGTTGGACTGATTTTGATTTTATAAGGTTGGTATATGGTTACATTCGTCATTAATGTGTTAGGTCCCAATCAAAGTGTTAAAGGAAAGAACAAGACATAATAGTGGGTGTGATTTGAAAATTTCTTCATAATTCTTTTGGGTAGGTAGGTAATCATAGGGGTTTAGAATTTAAATACCAGTTAAATTGAAAAAAATAATCCATCACCTTTATTTGTAAAATTCCATTGGGCTTTTCATTGGTCTGGATTGGAAGGAAACTAATAGGGCTAGGGCTGTCTTAACTTTTATTTTTTATTTTATTTATTTATTTTTTCGGATGGCCTGATTCTGTAATTGCATTTATTATTATTGTGGAGGAAATGAACAGTAAACCTGAGATACTTTTTGTCAGTTTTGGTCCTTTCATTTACATATTTCGTCTTTCATTTATGATGGGCAGTTTATGCCATTTTCTAACCTACCGCCTCTCGGCTAATCTTCCCGATCCTTCCATAGTCTTCCTTATCTCTGCTCAAACCCACCGCCTCTCAGGTAACCTTCCCGATCCTTATCTCCGCTCCAAATCGTTCACTCCTCTTTCTTCATCGTCTCCCTCGGTTCTCCATTGTTACTGTTTCGCGTTTGCTTCTTCCAGAAAAACACCACCGCCCTCCCTCCGCCTCAACTGTGATGGAAGAAAGGGGCTGCTCCGGTACCATAGGGTTATGCCTTTTTGTTCCCGATCCTTCCGCTCACTTTATCTTCCTCAGCACGCCTTTTTGTTCCCGATCCTTCCGCTCAGTTTATCTTCCTCAGCACAAACCTCCGACACCCGAACGAAATAGAAGAAGTATTTGGTAAAGGGTGGCTTCGATTTGTAACCGGTCGGTAGTAAGAGGGATGATTGGCTGTCGTGTTGGGGTAAACGAAGAGGCACCGTAGCAACGGCGGGCGCCGGTGGAGGGGGTCTGCCATTGGTCTCCAGTTAGGTGTCGTGAGCAGCAGCAGTGAAGAAGAAGGGGGTGTTCGGTGGGTTTGCTTCGACAGTGGTTGAACGGTATGTCAACGGGGTTCTACATCCAACTGAAGAGATGTTGTCTCCGGTCTTCAATCTGTAGGGAAAAAATAGGTTGCGTCAACAACTACAAATCAGAAACCTGCAACTCTTTTATGATGCAGCTTTCTTGCAGTATTTACATACGAATTATGGTAAAGTTTTTACTTTTTTTATGTTTTCTTCTCACTTTTTGTGCAAGGAATATGTTCGACACAACCACGACAAGTTGTCTCAGAACCGGATTTTTTCCCAAGGTAATTTCACAGTTTTTCTCCAATTTGTTTGGTTTCTTGCACGTAAGGTGTTTGACGTATTGTCTCTTTGTGTATTTTCGATTTTTTTGCTACTTCTTTATGTTTTCATCAGGTTATAATCCGACCAGGATTGGAATGTACAACTGAGAGGGAATGGTTCAACAAGTTGGTATTCGTTGCTTTAATCTGTTGATTTTGAGGTTTGTCAATAAATTCTTATATAATTCTGATTTGAAAAAAAAATTATGGAAATAAATATTGAATTAACTTCCTGTTTGTTTCTTTAATCAGTTAATTATCTCATTCAGTTCCTAATAATCATTTTTAAGATGCATTACACTGATCAATAACCCACAAATCGCGAGTTTTATGTCATTAAACGCCTTCATTCTTAAAGTTTTTTTATTTACATTAAAAAACTTGCTAATTTTTTCTGATATGTTTAACTCTATTAATGTCAAACCGCTTGAAAATCAGAAACTGTTATGTTGATCGGATGTCAGGTATGGGATCTCATGTTTACCTGTGCAGTCAAATGGAATAAAGAAGATGAGTGTGGGATGAAGGAGAAACTGTTGCGGCTTGGAACAAAGTTGAAAGAGGTATTTTAAGGGTATACATATGGATTATATTTACTGATTATAGGTTGATGAGGATATGGAAAGACATAATGAATTTCTACATGTTAAAAAAACTTCACCTTTTGAAATTAGTAATATTTTGAATCTTTAGACTTTCATCATAACGACCATTTTTAAATAATAAGTATTGTAAAGCTACAATTTCTCCTTTATTTTCTCATATTAATTGAAAAAAAATTGGAACAATAAAGAGTATAACGACATTTTTGTTGTGTGATTGCATATGTTCATTGGATGACTGATACTTCACTTCATGCAGCTTACAATTATGTATCTGGATTACACACATGTCGTCCTCATAGAGCAGCAATTGCATGGCCAACATGGGATTTGATAGCTATGGTGGAAAATTCGAAACATGAGGGGCCCGCTACCCATGCTGTCACATTTGTGTGGAATGCACATGAGGGAGAGAATGTGGAATTAATTGGAGATTTCACCAGGAATTGGAAAGAACCAGTTAAAGCAATTCATAAAGGTGGGCCACGATATGAAGCTGAAGTTCGACTTGCACAACGGAAGTAAGTTTTATCATTCTACTTTAAATTTAAGTTGACTATTTTGGTCAAACTATGTGATGTGAGTAATTACTTCGATGACAAATGTTTCAGGTATTATTATTATAAGTTTATAGTGAATGGAGATTGGAGGCAGTCACCAACTTCACCTACAGAAAGTGATGATAGGGGGAATGTTAATAACATACTTGAGGTTGGTGACGTGGCAAGTGTGACGCCTTCTATTCAACATCCAAAGAAGGTATACATGAAATATATTTCAAAATATACTTTTAGGGTAAAGCATACTGACATTGTATTTGTTTTAGGATGTGAATATTGTGAAAGTGATTGATAGGCCATTGACAAAAAATGAGCAGTTTATGTTAGCAAAAGCGGCTCGATGTGTTGAATTCTCTGTGTGTCCTATAACGCTGACTCTCAAATAGGTTGATCTCAATCATACAATGCCTTTGAAACAACCATTGATTGCCATCTAAGAGATTTTGCTATAAGTATGACCACTAATGAAGAATACTGTTTGAAGCTTAAGAAGTTTCCTGATAATGCTGCCATTGGCATCTGGTTGGTATTTTCTCTCTTTTTGTTATTTTGTCAATTGATATATAATTTGATACACATACATAGATACATACCTGTTAATTGTATACATGTATACATTGCAATTATCTGTAAGATAGTTTATAACCGTATGTAAGGATTGTAGATGAAAGTGTATAAATGCGATGCATTATGATATCAAAGGCAGGTCGAATGAAGGCAGGTGTAGGTGGCAGGTCACAGGGGAGGTGGTAGGCGGATCATGGTGGCTAATCGAAACCATGGACGGAAGGGAGGCCCTTGCTGGGAAGACATTTATTAAATAAGAATGGTAAAGATATTAAGAAAGCTGGTAAACGAATGAAGAAATGTCTTCCTCCTTCACTACTGAGCTTTCGGATCGAAGGACTCATGTGCCTCATCTTCTTCTACTCTTTTCCATTCCATTTTCCTCCACTTTCAAAGGTGTACTCGGATGATTTTCACTATGATTGTTGGGTTAATTGATTGCTTTTGCTTTATGTTATTGTTAGAATGAATAATGTTGCCACCGGTTTTTTTTATACTCCTTTAATTATAGTTTGGTAATTAAATAAAAAAAACCAATAGTTTAGTAGCTAAAAGCCTAAAACAGTCAATAAAGATAGATATTTCAAGTTTTTCTAACTTATATGTGTTTCTTTATAACAGAAAAGCGGAAGGAGAAATCTCTGGGACTACAAACAAACTTCAATAAGAATGAAATTGGAAAAGGTTTTGTCCTAAACAAACAAATTTGCTTTTCCCCCAATATCCTTAGAATATTGTACAAGCTTGGTTTATTATAACAATAGCTAAACATTGTTTGTTAGAATGCATTACTAACTACATTTTTTTTGTAGGGATTCGTGGGTTCAGATGCAAGGTGCAATTAAGAGGCTGAAGGTATTAATCTTTCACTTATTCTCCAGATTTTAAATGGGTTTTGAAATTTCATTTTCTGCTTAGCGGGCTTTGATTCATTTGAAAAATAAATAAGTTAAAATAACTCACTTTTCTTATTTTATCCATCTTTTTATTATAAATTTATTATTATCCTTCATGTTTTTTTCACCAGAGCCTTATAGATTCAAAGGTATATGCTTTACTTGGTGAAAAAACTGCAGCAGATAACGGGAAGTCTTTTTTATTATACTAAAAAACTATGTTCTTGCTTGCATTTTCTTTTTTTCTTTTAATTGGTAAGCCATGTGATTTTGTGTGCCTCCAGGACAAGTATCAGTGTCGCCACTATTGTTGCCCCTGCACCAAAATTAACATCTGAAATTAATGGAAACACTGTTTAAGGAGGTACCCATCCCTTATATTTTTCTTATAATATCTGTTTACCATGACTTTGTATGAATGGTAGAAAAATGCTACTTCATTGCTATTCCGCCTACGAAACAAAACCATACTTGTCTGTGATGATATAAAGATTAAAGTTGGTTGCTATTATGGTTACAAAAAAAAGTATGTTCACTTTCCTATAATGCTAGAAAAATGGAAGTTGGTTTTGGCTAAAAGATAAAGTATGTTGCCTATAATGGTAGAAAGATGTAAGTACGTTGCCATTGTGCAATTTGAGAATCATTTATTTTGGTTTCTTCTTTTGTTAATAAGTGTTTTGAATTTTGATTTTTTGTTTAAAGATTATGGAGGACGAATGTGGAGCTCTAAGAAAGAACCGAAAAGTTCCGTAAGCAAGCTAATGCAATAGCCGACTATCCTACAGAACCACGATGTTCTTCTTAAACGTAACGTCAATCATAGTCACAGCAGATGCAGCAAATGACATTGTACTTCATGACACGTGACGAGGTCACCTCATACAGCCTGACAAAACCTCTATTTTTGTATAACTTTGACCCCCGCAACGCGGGGGACACTTTTCTAGTTCAGATTAAGACTATAAATTAAGGGATGAACAAACAATATGAGGTGCTATTTAATAGGATCTGAAATTTTAAGATTTAGATTTTTAAGATGTCTGAATTTCTATGAGAGTTTGAATTTTTAGATACTGTTTGGTTGGGACCTCTGAATTACTGAATGAAAAAAAATTACCATTTTATGTTATTTTTTGTTGAATTCAATGGTTTTGTTTATAAAACAATTGAATCAACTAATCCAAGGCTTCTTTTGTGTCATGTCTACTATAAATTCAATAAAATTCAGCACATAAATCAACAAATAAACACATTTTCAGCAAACCAGAACAATTTTTAGCAATGCATAAACATATTATAAGCAAACCAGAACACAAACTCAAACTCAGGAATCAACAAAAACAACAATAAAATGAATAAAATCAACAAAAATGGTAGCAAAATCACAAGTCATTGTGTTGAATGTATCAGCCAAATCCGCAAACACTAAAATCAGCAAAAAATGAAAAACGAAACACATAATTGCAGTAACATTGACCGGAGATGACAATGGGGAGGGTGACGACGGTCGGAGGTGGTGATGAGGAGGAGCACTGGCTATTCTCCGGCTGTAGATGGAGAAGGTAGAGAGCGAGAGAGAAGCGTGCGAGAGGAAGATGGATTTTTGAGGATTGGAGAGGGACGAGAAGGGGCTTCGATGAGTAGAAAAGAAAAAAAGAGCCTTCCATGTTTGAGTAAACGCAGGGCACAAGTGTTTTTTCATCAACCTCCTCATCGTGAGTATGTTCTTCTCTCCACTAAGATTTTTCTAAAATTTCCTATATGCAATGGTAAAGTTCATTTAGTAAATGAAATTCTTAACATTTTTCCTCAGTGCTCCGTTAGCAATTCTAAACCTGAAGTTCAATCAAAGTCCTCTACTTCTGATGACTTAACGATTCATGAGACTCATGACATGGTATCAAATGAGCATACCATCGATGATATTCCTTGTTCTAGAACTAAAACAAGACCTCTTAATTCAAATTGTCAAAGTTCCTTGGGTTCAAAAGTTGAAAAGAAATCAAAATCTATTGTTAAAGGAAAGAATCATTGAATCAAAGTTTGTTATCGATGTGGTGACGCCTCTCACAAAGTCAGCGAGTGCACTTTTGAAAAGAACTCCGTTCGTGCCGACAACATCATGACTCGTAATGATAAGTGGATCAAAAAGGGAAACTCGTTGAACTGTCTTCCTGATGATTGTTATAATATTTTTTCTTGAAGTGACTCATTGCAAAATGTGTAACATCGGGATTCCTAGGTATGTTATTTTAGTTATTTATTTTTGAGGTTCATTGATCTACTCGAAGAGTTGGTGCTATAACTTGCCGAGTAGAAGCGGGGTGGCCACGTGGGTTTAATGATCTACTCGACGAGTCCGAGAGTAGACTCGCTGAGTAGGTGCTGGGAGTGAAAACCCTAGATCCCTAGGTTTGAGACCTATTTAAAGGCACTTATAGCCTCCTTTGTGGCCACCTTCCCCAGAGAGAAACCCTAACCTGCCCTTTCCGTTGCATATATATATATATATATATATATATATATATATATATATATATATATATATATATATATAGAGAGAGAGAGAGAGAGAGAGAGGCCATCTTGAGCATTCTTGAGCTTTTTGGAGAAAAGATTAGAAGAGTTGGTGGATCTAATCAAGAGGAGGCTGTGGATCTTGCATTCTTCTGTCATTAGCTACTATTCAGAGGTATAAAGCTCTCATATTGACCCCTTGTTTGTTAGATCCCGTTTTTGGGAGCTTTTAGGGTTTTCCTTCCAATCATCTTGTGTCCTTGAGTTATTTGAGCATGGTTTAAGGTTAGGACCTCATATCTGGACCATAGGAGGCCTTGAGAGCCCAAAGATCGAAGCTTTATTGAGCTAGAGGCAAGCTCATGTGCATCCAACCTTCTTTGGAGCTTGTAATGGCATATTGGAGCAAATATGCCATGCATGAACGTAAAGATCGAAGCTTTACGTGACATTTGAACCTAGGGAGTCTAGATCTAGAGTTTGGAGTGATAGATCTGCCCTAAAATGTGTGAATGGGAATATAGACTGGATGAACTCGCCGAGTCCATGAACTGACTCGACGAGTCGCTTAGGGTTTATCCTGATAAGTCTGAGCACGCTGTAACTCGACGAGCTGACGGGTCTACTCGACGAGTAGAGTTGGTTTTCATAAGGTCTCTGAGGGAACGAGGGGACTCGACGAGTATCCCCGATGCACTCAAGTTTGACTTCTGTTGACGTTGGAGTTTTGACCAAATATGAGTAATGGAGACCATTGAGGAGTAGAAGGGTCTTTTGCCCTTACCAAGAGTTAGAGAGGGGTTAGTATGAAATTATTAGAATAATGTTCTAATTAGAGATATTCACCACATGTATTAGGCGGAGGCTAGATCGGTGATTCGTGTACGAGGTGTATTAGCTTGCTCACTTCGAGGTGAGTCTTCTCACTATACTTTACCTAGAGTGGTAACTATGTGTAACCAGAGAGTCTTATGTGCTTGCTTGAGTTATGTATTTTCTGTGTGATATATATGTTGTATGTTATATTATGTGATACATAGACCGGACCGGAGGGTCCAACGTACTATGAGACCGGAGGGTTCTCAACCAGACCGGACCAGAGGGTCCAACGAGCCATGGGACTGGAGGGTCCTAACCAGACCGGACCGAAGGGTCCAACGAGCCGTGGGACTGGAGGGTCCCGCTGAGACACGTTGACCGGAGGGTCTTACAGAGCTATAGCCTCGAGTGGCTAGTTATTTGTGTGTGGTATTTTGGGGAACTCACTAAGCTTCGTGCTTACCGTGTTATGTGTTATGTGTTTAAGGTACCTCAGAGGATCGCGGGAAGGCACCGACTTGATTGTACACACACACACACATACACCTGAGCTGGAGATTATATTTATTGTGGATCCTGGATTTGTGAAAAACTATTTTGAAATATGTTTGACATTGATACTTGAGGTTTTCGAGAATATGATATGTGATTGTGATAATTAAAAATGAAAAATTTGGTTTGAAAGTTCATGTTGTTACAAGTTGGTATCAGAGCCTTGGTTTGAGGGATTCGGATGCACCTTCGGGTATGTCTGGACTCAAACTAAGGATTTGAGAAAAAATTTCAAAGGAAACGATTTTTTCTAAAAACGAGCAAGAGTTCTAAGAGAAAAACGAAAAAGAGCGGTGTGTACAATTAGCCAGAGCCCGAACGATGATTTCCCAAAATACCCTTACTTTCTGTTCTATGAGATATTTATGAGATATATTATGCATGCTAGAGGGTAGGCTAGGTATTTCATATTTTAGGACTAGAGTGGCCTGATTTGTGATACCTTAGCCTAGAAGTTACTGGTACATGTGATTTGCTTTGAGAACGAGTAGGTAGCAGGAATGAGCTTATAAGAGTAGGCGGTGTTCGGTGAGATATAGAGTACTTGCGATTTGGAATCCTAGGAGGAGGACTTGGGGTGATTACAGATGCGGTGTGGAAGGTAGTATTGGGTCCGTACTACTGGAAGCACCGGGTCGGTGAGCAGTCCAAGTAAGAATCCTTGGGATGCCAAGGAACAAGTAAGGTGGAGTGATCGAGTGTGAGTATACTCGGGCGATACACTGCTGTCACTGAGGCTGCTGCTGTTGCAGCCACCACAACTGTCGCTGCTGCCAGGCCATAGGGGGTGACTCGTTGCTGTACCGGGAGTTCAGCCACACGAAGCCACCAGAGTTTGATGGGACTCAAGATCCTATTGTCGCGATGAGATGGATTTATGATATCGAGGGGTGTTTCTACACTTATTCATGTCCGAAATATTTGAGGGTACGATTCATGCTGAACCAGCTTCGCTTGGGGGCGAAGGACTGATGGAAGTTTGTGACAGCCAGTTACACTCCTGCAGAGGACACTACAGTGACATGGGAGAGGTTTACTACGATGTTTCGATATGAGTATGTTCCCCCGGTGGAGAGGGAACGGTTAGCCCAGGAGTTTTTATCCCTCAAGCAGAGGACATAGTCTGTGACGGTGATCACGAGGATGTTCCATGAGAGGGCATTGTTCTGCCCTGAGAACGTGTCTACTGAGCAGGCACGCATGAGCCGATATTTGAGCATACTGAGGAGGGACATTCGTGAGTTCGTGGCGAACTCGACTTCACGGACATTTTCCGAGCTCCAGGCAAATGCCCGGAAGAGGGAGATTGAACTAGAGACTCAGGCAAGGGAGGAGGCGGAGTCTCAAGGGAGAGATCGGCGGCCGACACAGTCTCAGCCAGAAGCCAAGCGGACAAATCCCGCTGATTCGAGATCTGGGGGCCAGAAGGGCCGCACTTGTGGGAAGTGCGGCAAGAGTCATGATGGGGTGTGCAGAGCGGGGGTGTGCTACAAGTGTGGCAGGGAGGGGCATATTGCGAGGGAATGCCCCAAGAGGTTTGCAGTTTGCTTTCACTGCAACCAGAATGGCCATCGGAAGGCCAAATGCCCACAGTTGCTTCAGTGATCAGCGCAGGGAGCTGCACCTACTGCTATTCGAGCTACATAGAGTCGGCCAGCGAAGGCCGAGGCACCAAAGGCTCGCGGGAGAGCCTTTCAGTTGACAGCAGAGGAGGTCCACGCAGCACCCGATGTCTTGGCTGGTATGCAATCTTTGGTTATTCTATTCTAAGTTATTTGTGCTTATATTGTGATATGAGTAGGTACTTTTCTTGTGAGTTTTGTACCTGCCTTAGTGTTATTTGACTCGGGTGTGAGTCGATCGTTCGTGTCATTAGCGTTTAGTCACCACATCAGTATCAGACGTGAGTCGTTGAGTCAACCTCTGAGAGTTTCTATAGCCGATGAGCGTGCGGTGTTTGCCACTGATATGATCTGGGGATGTGTACTTGAGATTTTTGGTGTTGAGTTTCCGATAGATCTGGTGTCGATCGCGATGGGTGTCTGTGTCATTGTGGGCATGGACTGGTTGAGTCGGTACGGAGCGGTAATCGACTGCGAACGTCAGTTGGTGACCATACGAGACCCTAGTGAGGGAGTGATTACAGTATATGGCGAGGGTACCCAA